TGGTTGAGTTGTAGCTTAACTGGGTTGCAATAACGGGAGTGCTGTAAGAAAGACACTCACAGCTGATTAGACCCCGTTTGGAGTATCCCATCCAGTTCTGGGCACCACATTTCAGGACAATTGTGGATGAATTGGAGAAGGTCCACAAAAATGATCAAATGTCTAGAAAACATGAGCAATGAGGAAGAGGAGGAAGACTGAAAGAACTGGGTACATTTGGTTTGGAAAAGAGAAGACTGAGAGGGGACATGAGAGCAGTTTTCAAGTATCTAAAGGGATGAGAAAAGGAGGAGGGAAAAAATTGGTTCTCCTTGGCCTCTGATGATAGGTCAGGAAGAAATGGGCTTAACTTGCAGCAAGGGAGGTTTAGGTTGGCCATCAGGAAAATCTTCCTATGCGGCAGGGTGGTTAAACATTGGAATAAATTGTCTAGGGAGGTAGTGGGATCGCCATCGTTGGAGATATTTAAGAGCTGGGTTGGATAGACATTTATTAGTGATGATCTGGATTTTACTTGGTCCTGCACTGGGGGCAGGGGACTGGACTTATTGACTCCTCAAAGTCCCTCCCAGAGTTAGCATTCCAGTATTCTAGGATTCACGCCTGGGGGCTCTGAAAATTCCAGGTAGCAGATTGCTGTGTTAAACATCCCCTGGAGTTCCAATCCTTGAATAATTTGCATAGTTGATTCAAGTTTCATGGTATAAGCTGGGATCCCCAAGGAAGTTCTTTCAGATCCAGATTAGGATGCAGCCCCAAGATCAGAGCTGCCAGGCTCGATACCCTGCCAACCACACAATGCAGAAGCCAGCAGGAACACATCATCTGCCTTTCGGGGAGTGGTCAGCATTGTATGCATAGCATCTTCTATTTGGTAACTGCTGATAAAGAGAGGATGAGGCTATTACTGTATGTCTTTCTGCCCAGAAAGGTCTTGAAAACCTGGGAAAACCTGGTCCTGCTTTAGACAAGGGGCTAGACGTGATGATTTTTATCCAACCTCTCTAGAAGCAGGCATGAAGCACATGAGGCTGCCAGCATTAATGGCAGAGGATGCCCTGGGTGAGACGATACAGGGCAGACATTTGTGTGGGAACCAAGAGTAGCATGCAGGAAGGTGACCTGCTTCCTGGTGAGATGGCAGAACTTTTCTTAGGAGGAGGAGACAAATTCCTTGTGCTGTTGGCTAATGTGTACATTAAGCGAGGGGCAACATTCTGCTGGGACCCCAGAGGAAAGGGGGAAGGTCCCAGGAACCACTGAAGGAGAGAGGAACTGTCTTGTTCATCCCCCGTATAGTGCTGGGAGGATGACTGGCCCCAGGGGTGAGGTGACAGTCCCCACAGAGGGGAGGAGAACATTCCCTTGACTGGTAGGACACAGAACACAGCTCTGAATGAGCTATTGGGAGAAGACCCAGCTCTTAGCCCAGAGAGCACAGATCACAGCTTTCTAGGAAAGGGGGGAGGAAGGTCTCAGTACTTAGAGTGGGAATTTCAGGGAAAGACCAAAATGGTGGGGTGAATTTTTCTCATGACCATATCTCTGGGGTTGGGAAGCAGACACACATTGGGCCAGCCACCACCCAAAGTCCCCTGATATCCTTACCTCACCAGACTCTGACATTAAGAGATGAACTTTGATGGAGATCCCTTCTGAAGGAGACAGTGATAGAAAAAGAAAACCAGCAACTAACCACATGTTCAGGTTCAGGGAGGCATTGAAAACACGACGGCTGCATCTAGACTGGCAAGTTTTAGCCGCTTTTGTGGAAAAACTTTCCAGCTGTCTACAGTTGCCGCTTGAATTTGCACAAAAGCACTGACTTTCTACTGTCTGAAATCAGTGCTTCTTGCACAAATACTATGCTGCTCCCGTTCGGGCAAAAGTCCTTTTCCGGAAATGCTTTTGTGCAAAAGGGCTAGTGTAGACATCTGGAAACTCTTCTGCACAAAAAAGCCCCGATGGTGAAAATGGCGATCGGGGCTTTCTTGTGCAAAACTGCATCTAGATTGACGTGGACGCTTTTCCGCAAAAAGTGCTTTTGCGGAAAAGCATCCGTGCCAATCTAGATGCTCTTTTCCGCAAATGCTTTTCACGGAAAAACTTTCTAAACTGCTCCATACCACAGGCTGCAACAGCAACTACCTCAGCCCTCCGAATGATATTGTTAACCTCTCTACCTACAAACTCAATCCAGCGGAAGAGTCTGTCTTATCTTGGGCTCTCTCTTTCTGCCCTTCGTCCCCCACAAACTGGATTCAATTTTGCGGTGACCTTGAGGCTTTTTTTCGCCACCTCTGCCTCCGAGAATATTTCCAAACCACCAATGAACATCAATCTGACCTACCAGATCCCCCCTATCAACACCAAAGGAAAAATAATTCAATATGGACTCCCCCTGACAGTCGGAATTCCAATCAGGATTTCTATACAAAGCTTCCGAAACAACGCACAGACTGACATTATTCACAAACGACAAGAAGCGGCACACAATCTAAGCCGTGCTGAACACAATGCCATCCAGAGGCTCCCCATGAGCAACAGGGCGACCGCAGGATCAGTCCAGGGGCAGGTCCGCTTCCGCGTCATACCCCGTCACACCAAGACTGTGTGCAGGTAACAGCTTCTGCACAACATGACAGGAAGCACGTCAAGGCTGTCACCTCTAAGGGTAGAGGTTGCTTGGGTTAGAAAATTTAGAGCAGAAACTTCTATGGCAATTGGTGCAACAAGGTGACCTGCAGAGACGGCAGAGTTTTGAAGAGGAGGAGAAGACAAAATCCATGTGCCCTTGGCTAACGTGCACATAGAAACCGAGGGGGTGGGAAGCCGTATTGCCAGTGGTAGTTGGGAGGACAATCCAATTGGTGAGCTGAAGGGCAATGGCTCCTAGACCACAGCTCAGGCTATGAAAGTGTCAACCTGCAGCAAGAAGCAACATTCTGCTGGGAACGCAGCAGTATGGGAAAAGGTCTCAGGAATTGCTGAAGGAGTTAGTGAGAGTGTCTTCATCCCCTTATAGTGCTGGGAAGATGCCTGGCTTCTGGGGTGGAGTGACAGTCCCCACAGAGGGGAGGAGGGTGTTCCCTGGGCTGGTAGAACACAAAACACAGCTCTGAATGAGCTACTGGGAGAAGACCCACCTCTTAGCCCAGAGAGCGCAGATCACTGCTCTCTAGGAAAGGGAGGAGGCAGGTCCCAGTACTGGGAGTGGGGATCGCAGGGAAAGGCCACAATGGTGGGGTGAATTTTTTTCATGACCATAATGCTGCAATCGGGAGGGAGGCACACAGCAGGCCACATCTAAAGTCCCCTGATATCCTTACCTCACTAGATGCTGGCATCCCAAGATGAGCGTCGATGGAAATCCCTCCTGAAGGAGACAGTGAGCTGAAGGGAAAACCAGCAACTAACCACATGTTCAGGTTCAGGAAGGTGTTGAAAGGCACAACTGGTATTGACCAAACCAAGCACAAGGTGTGTGGTATCATACAAACACCTGGAAGGGCCTACACATGGGGAAAGGGTTAGGGTTATTGTTCAATCTCATGATGTTATGTTATGTTTGTCCTGAACAGTAAATCTTATTACAAAGAATTGAATATTGATGGTAGAGATGTAGCCATGTTAGTCTGGTGTAGCTGAAACAAAATACAGGACTATGTAGCACTTTAAAGACTAACAAGATGGTTTATTAGATGATGAGCTTTCGTGGGCCAGACCCACTTCCTCAGATCAAATAATGGAAGAAAATAGTCACAACCATATATACCAAAGGATACAATTAAAAAAAAGAACACATATGAGATGGTAGAGATGTAGCCATGTTAGTCTGGTGTAGCTGAAACAAAATACAGGACTATGTAGCACTTTAAAGACTAACAAGATGGTTTATTAGATGATGAGCTTTCGTGGGCCAGACCCACTTCCTCAGATCAAATAATGGAAGAAAATAGTCACAACCATATATACCAAAGGATACAATTAAAAAAAAGAACACATATGATGAAAAGGACAAATCACATTACAGAAC